GTCAATGTTCTCAATGTCACGAGAAGATACACTCATCCCACTAGATTAACACAACCAATCGATAATACCAATTAATACTAATGGATAGGTAATAATCAACCCACCAAGCCTTGGGTTGCAACGATAGTACTTCACGTAAGGATGGTCCAACCAGTAAGGACCACAAACCAATAAAAGAACTCTTAATCTTATCTACACTTCACGTACAAGCTCTAGCTTACTTAGCTTGAATGTCTACGATCACACAGAGCAAACACTACCACGCACGCCCTAAAATCAAGTGCTCAGTTTGCTCACAACACACCCCGCAACGGCAATGTAATTGTGTACAGACCCACCTACGAGTGTACTTAAACAGTAAGCTACTCAATTACAGTGGCGGAAGTACAATAACATTAATAGAGGTAACAATTCTACTTACGAGTCTGATCATGGTGGGGCTCATGACACCAACTATCCAGACAAAAGTACTTAAACCTCACACAGCAAAGTTTACCAACGACTGCCAGAGCTACCACTCGAGTAGCGCTTATTCCAACCATCATCACCCTTCTTATGCCAACCGTCATCAGAGCCATAGCTTTTACTCCAGCTCTTCTTATAGGGACGTCCCCGATAGTCTTCACGTACCCAATGACGAGAGCCACGGTCTTGGAGAACCTCCTCAACCATCGTAGTCAAACGACTCAAATTGGACTTGATCTCATCGATCTGACTTTGAATATCACCCACCTTGTCCTGGGTGTCGCCGGTCTGAGCATCTTTTCCACTTTCAGTACTCATAGGAGTATCACTTCTCTGGGATAAATCCACGAGCTTACTGAAGAAGTTGTTCGACTTGCTTGGTGACATAGGCGGTGTTCCTTTATCCGGCCTAACCACCAACGGGGAGATACTACCAATATCCAAGGCTTCATAACCAATGGGGTCCTCAGTTGACGGAGAGAACTCTTGCAGATCCACAGTTGCAACACCACAGACCCTACCCACAATCTCATTCAACGCCTTAAAGACAGGCTCCTTAACCAGTCTTAGCGTCAAGGCCGTATAACCGAGACCCAGATCCGAGCACTTTTTCCAAGTTGACATCCACGTAGGGTTTTTAGACACATTCTTGTTACTAATCAAGGGTGGTCTACCCTCCAAATAACAAAACCTTGGAT